CACCTCTTCGAAACATCACTCTTTTGTAAACTCTATTGTCGACTATGCGTAGATCGGGCAGCCCTTCGTGATTGTTTTCAATTGTTTCACGAAGCTCCGAGTACTCTACGCCGTCGAATTCCGGTGATGCCAAGTCAATTTCTAGAGGTGGGGTAGAAGAGAGTTCGTCCACGTCAAAACGCGAAATGGTGTCCGGCACAACATTTAAAGAACCTTTTCGATGCTCCATCCTAAAGTTGTATCTTTGCAATAGAAGCGACCATCTTGCCAACCTGCTACTCAAGTCTTTTTGTGTCATTAGCCACTTGAGACTTGAATGGTCAGTAATTATTCGAAAAGGCAATCCTTCTATATATGGTCTGAAAATCTTAACGCTAACTATTGCTGCGAGGCATTCCAGCTCGGTGACCGTATAATTCCGCTGAGCATTATTAAGCTTCTTCGATACAAAAGCTATGGGATGCTCTGCGCCTTCCTCATCGAGCTGGAATAACACGCCTCCTACTCCTATTTTGGATGCATCACATTGAATTACGAATTCTTTCGTAAAATCGGGTTGCGCCAGGACAGGCGCTGAACAGAGTGCAACTTTAAGTTTACCAAATGCTTCAACTGCCTCAGGAGTTAATTTAAATGGACCAGGTGACTTCCGAAGGCAATCTGTCATTGGACCAGCCTTGTCCTTCAGGAATATTCTAACTTTCGAAACAATCTCTCTGTTCACTCGTTCAAAGGCGTTAGCCTGAGGTGAGTATAACCCCGTCTTAATGTGAACACCCCCATAGTTTTCAAAAAACTGCTGCATCTCCTTCGAAATGAATTGCTTCCCGTTATCACTATGGACGAATTGAGGGACCCCGAAGGCTGGAAAAATCTCTGTAGTAAAGAAGCTAATTACGTTTGCCGACGTCGCGTTTTGCATCGCCTTCAAAAATACGTATTTGGAAAAATGGTCTAGAAATATAAACAAAAACTGGTTTCTTCGCTTTGATCCTGGATATGGACCTAAGAAATCGCAATAAAGACGCTGGAATGGCCTCTCGGATACAAAGGCATTGCCCATAGGTGGTCTGGACACTTCATTGGTGGCTTTCACGGCTTTGCAGGTTTCGCAACGGTTTACATAGAGGCGTATGTCCTTTGCCATTTGCGGCCAAAAGTATTTCTGCCGAACGCGCTCTAAAGTTTTCTGCCAACCTCCATGGTAACTAGCATTGGAATCGTGTGAACATTTGATTGCGAGCACCGTCAGCACTTCCGGTAACCACAAACGCCAGAGCGAATCCTCTTCCTCTTCCACACCTCTTCGAAACATCACTCTTTTGTAAACTCTATTGTCGACTATGCGTAGATCGGGCAGCCCTTCGTGATTGTTTTCAATTGTTTCACGAAGCTCCGAGTACTCTACGCCGTCGAATTCCGGTGATGCCAAGTCAATTTCTAGAGGTGGGGTAGAAGAGAGTTCGTCCACGTCAAAACGCGAAATGGTGTCCGGCACAACATTTAAAGAACCTTTTCGATGCTCCATCCTAAAGTTGTATCTTTGCAATAGAAGCGACCATCTTGCCAACCTGCTACTCAAGTCTTTTTGTGTCATTAGCCACTTGAGACTTGAATGGTCAGTAATTATTCGAAAAGGCAATCCTTCTATATATGGTCTGAAAATCTTAACGCTAACTATTGCTGCGAGGCATTCCAGCTCGGTGACCGTATAATTCCGCTGAGCATTATTAAGCTTCTTCGATACAAAAGCTATGGGATGCTCTGCGCCTTCCTCATCGAGCTGGAATAACACGCCTCCTACTCCTATTTTGGATGCATCACATTGAATTACGAATTCTTTCGTAAAATCGGGTTGCGCCAGGACAGGCGCTGAACAGAGTGCAACTTTAAGTTTACCAAATGCTTCAACTGCCTCAGGAGTTAATTTAAATGGACCAGGTGACTTCCGAAGGCAATCTGTCATTGGACCAGCCTTGTCCTTCAGGAATATTCTAACTTTCGAAACAATCTCTCTGTTCACTCGTTCAAAGGCGTTAGCCTGAGGTGAGTATAACCCCGTCTTAATGTGAACACCCCCATAGTTTTCAAAAAA